AAGCGTCACTTCATCTCTCTACCTCAGAGAAGTGCGGCAAAGATGAAATTAGATAATAATATGGAAACACCTTGCACAATGCCTGGACCAAATACTAGCTCACTATCCATTTATCAAGCACAGACATAATCGATAAGGTAAGCCTTAGATTTAAAGATGAATCCAACACTGCCACAACCTCAAGGAACCCACTAATTGTAGCCTCCACCCGTGCAAAGAAGTGTCCTCCTGCCTCACTCCAGCAAGTGTCACCAGACAGACCCCAGAGGAGCAGAGAATAAGCTCCTGGAGCCAGTCTTGTGATCTGGAAAGTACAGAACTCTCCTGGTGGTTTGCTTCCCAGCATCGAGCAGTGACATGTGGGGAAATGCTCTGGATTTTAAGATCGGCCCAGCTCTCATAATTGTTGTTGTTAAGTGTTGTCGAGTCCATTCCGGCTCATAGTGACCCTATATAGGGTTTTCTGAGGAGCGGCTGGTGAGTTTGAACCTCCAACCTTGCAGTATAAACTAACCTTGAGGTCCAGTGCTTATCCTACCATGCCACACCAGGACTCTAACTTTCATAGTAGCATCATATCTCAATTTTCTTTATTCCACTCCTAAGCCTGGCTGCTAATTAGAATCACCTGAGAATCTTTTAAACCCTAAACTACTGGGCCCCACCCCAGACTGACTAAATCAGAGCCTCTCGAGAGATGGAGACCAGACGTCTTAGTTTTAAAAGCTCCCTAGGTGATTCTAACAGGTAACCAGTGTTGCAAACCAGTGGTTGAATACATGCAACTTCTGTGCCACAACAGTCTTTTATTTAAAAAGAAGCACAATTCTACAGAATCCAAACACAGCAGCCTAAGAGAAACGATTGCCAACATTTCAATTTTAAAAAGGAGAGAACAGACCCATGTTAACACGGGTGATAGGGCAGGCAATGTACAAGAGGGAGGTTGGCAGGGCAAAGACGAAGGAAGCAGAAACAAAGGGAAGAATGCAATAGATAACGAGAATAGAGGCAAATACTGTTAACCATTGGTGCATGGAGGAGACAGCAATCAATGCAACGAAATGAAATATATGATTTGCTGAATGTAAAACTGATTATCTGCTCTACAAACCTTCACTCAATTCCCAATAAAAAAATTAGGGGGAAAATGATTTCTTCCCAGGAGAGCTCTTCCTTTCTATGAATCCCCATATTGAATATCTTCTGTACACTCTTAGGAGGCAAGGTATCATGGCAGTAAAAAAAAAAAAAAAAGGAGCCCTGGTGGGGTGGTGCTGTAGGGTAAGCATTGGACTATTAACCACAAGTTAGGCGGTTCAAAACCACCAGCTACTCAACAGGACAAAGATGAGGCTGTCTACTCCCATAAAGATTTATAGCCTCATCCGAGGCCAATTGTGGAACAGACTATCAATTGCTCATATGTAAAATTGACCTTGAACATATTCCACCTGGATCTGAAAGCCATCTCAAGAACAGATTTGATGCATTAAACAGTAATGACAGAAGACCAGAAGAGCTGTGGGCTGACATCAGGAATCATCATACAGGAAGAATGTAAAAGGTCATTTAAAACACAGGGAAAAAGAAAAGACAAAAGCAGATGTCCGAAGAGACTGAAACTTGCTCTCCAGCATAGAGATGCTAAAGCAAATGGAAGAAATGAGAAAGTCAAAGAGCTGAACAGAAAGTTTCAAAGGGCATCTCAAGAAGACAAAATCAAGCATTATAATGAAATGTGCAAAAACCTGAGGTTAGAAAACCAAGAAGGAAAAACAGGCTCAGCATTTCTCAAGCTGAAAGAACTAAAGAAAAATTCATGCCTCAATTTACACTTTTTTTTTTTTTTTACTCCATGGGCAAAATATTGAATGATACAGAGAGCATCAAAAGAAGGTGGTTGATGTTCAACTATTTGAAGAAATAGCATATGATCAAGAACCAATGGTATTCTAGGAAGAAGTTCAAGCTGCACTGTAGGTATTGGAAAAACAAAACAAAACAAGGTACCAGGAACTGACAGAATGCAATCTGCAATCTTTCAACAAATTGATGCAGCACTGGAGGTGCTCACTAACTCACACAGGTGGCCCCAGATGGGGATGGTTACAGCGTCTGTTAGGATCACAGGGCAGCTGGGAGCAGAGTGGCTGGTTATGAGGGTTTCTGCTAGACTAATGCTTATCTGGCAGCTCTGAAGGTCTGTAGGTCTGGAGCTGAACTTGCTTGAATCCAGGCACCAGAGCCTCACACTGGAGTGGTTCACAACCACATGGCTCCAAACTTCTGGGGAGCAGGGTTTGTGCTAGGGGTGGCTAAGAGTGGGAGCTGGGCACACCTTTCCCGACACCTGTGTGAATCTGCTCTGCCAGGCCACCTTCTTCTGTCCCCAAAGCTGCTCACAAAAGTTCAAGATGGTCTCATCAGTCAAGTCTCCCTCTCTCACCATCCCTGCTCAGCCTCTCTTCTTAGCAAGCACTCACTCCACTTTTCTAACCTTTCCTCTGAAGTTCAAGGTTCCAGAATTTTCATCAGTGTCTGTTTCATTTGGTCTCTCATATCTTTGTTGTCTGATTTCTTTACATCAAGGTGTACTTTATACTTCAGGCTGTAAATTCTGGTCTTCATCAGTAAGTTCTTCAAATCCTCTTCCTATTATTCAGCAAGCAAGGCTGTACTCAGCATATTGCAGGTTATTAATGAGTTTTTCTCCAATCTTGTTGCCATGTTCTTCTTCATATAGTCCATCTTCTCAGACTATTTGCTCAGCACATAGAATGGATTAGCATGATGAAATGACACAACTGATGGACACCTTTCCTAATTTAAAATCATGCAATATCCCCTTGTTCTGTTTGAATGAGTGCCTCTTGGTCTATGTACAGGTTCCACATGAGCACAATTAAGTGTTCTAGAATTTCCATTCTTCCCAATGTTATATATAATTTAGGATCCACACAGTTGAATGCCTTTGCATAGTCAATAAAGCATAGGTTAACATCACTGCTTTCAGCCAAGATCCATCTGACATCAGCAATGATACCATTTGTTCCATGTTGTATTCTGGATTTGGCTTGAATTTCTGGGAGGTCCTTGATGCGACTGTTTTTGAATTATCTTCAGCAGAGTTTTAATTGCATGTGATATTAATGAGATTGTTCGATAATTTTGTATTCCATGTTTCACTTTACTTTGGAATGGGCAGTTGGCCAGGTAACTGTCTTCAAAATTTCTTGGCATAGACAAATGAGCACTTCAAGCATTACATTTATTATCTGAAACATCTCTATATTCTCTATATATTCTGTATATTCCTGGGGGCTCGTTTTTCATTAATGACTTATTGCAGTTTGGGCTTCTTCCTTCAGTACCATTGGTTCAACATGGTTCAACATCAACCAATGCTTCTTGGTACAGCAACTCTGTGCATTTCTTCTGACTTTTTTATTCGCCCTATGTTGTTTAGCATTTCCACCATATAATCCCTCAAGATTTCAATTTGAGTCTTGATTTTTTTTTTTTCCAGTTCATTCAGCTTTAGAAATGCCAATAGTGTTCTTTTAATTTAGTTTCCAAACTCCAGGTCTTTGCACACATTTCATTGTAATTCTTTACTTTGTATTCTTATGCCCCTTTGGACTCTTCTGTTAAGACTCTTACTTAATCACTTCTTTCATTTTCTTTAGCGACTCTATGTTGAAGAGCAAGTTTCAGTCTCTTCTGATATCCATTTTGGTCTTTTTTTTTTCTCCCTTCCCTGTCTTTTTAATGACCCTTTGCTTTCTTCATATATGTCTTTGATGTTCTCCCCCAACTTGTCCGGTCTTTGTTTATTAGTGTTAAATGTTTGACCTTTAGCATCAAATCTATTAGTCTCTAAAGTCAGGTGGAATATACTCAAGGTCATATTTTGGCTCTCATGAACTTCTTTTTAATTTTCCTCAGCTTCTACTTGAACCTGGTGGTGGATACTGAGCATCTCCATTGTCTCTTTCCACAGGTGTAGTCAATTTGATTCCTGCGTCTTCCATCTAGCGAGGTCTGTGTGTATAGTAGCTGCTTATGTTGTTGAAAAAAGATATTTGTAGTGAATAAATTATAGGTCTTGCAAAATTCTATGATGTGATCGCTGGCTATTTTCTATTAACAAAGCCGTATTTTCCAACTACCAAACCTTCTCAGTTGTTTCCAATTTTTGTATTCCAATCACCAGTGGCTATCAATGCAATGCATTCTGATTGTATGTTTGATCAATTTCAGATTGCATAAGTTGGTAAAAACTTTCAATTTCTTCATCTTTGGCCTTAGTGGTTGGTGTGTCAATTTGAATATAGTTGTATATTAACTGGTCTTCCTTATGTTATTATTGTTGTTAAGTGCTGTCGAGTTGGTTCCAACTCATATCGACCCTGAATAGGGTTTCCAAGGGTGGCTGGTGAATTTGAACCACCGGCCTTGCAGTTCAAACTGACCTTGTAGTCCAGCGCATTAACCTCCAGCGCCACACCAGGACTCAGGTTTTCCTTATAGGCATATGGATATCACCTCACAGTGTTGTGCTTCAGGAAAAATCTTGAAATGTTCTTTTTGACAATGAATGTAACATCATTGCTCTTCAATTTGTCATTCCCAGTATAATTGGGATTGTCCGGTTCAAAATGCCAAATACCAATCCACTTCAGTTATCTGTAAGGTGGTTTAATGCAGACTCTACCTCAGGGGATGTCAGGAGGATACAGTGAGACCATGCACCTAAATGTTGTTGTTGTTAAGTGCCGTCGAGTCGATTCCGACCCATAGCAACCCTGTATAGGGTTTCCAAGGAGCAGCTGGTGAGCCTGAACTGCTGACCTTGCAGTTCAAACGGCTTTGCCGTCTGGCACATTAACCCACAGCACCACACCAGTTAGCAATGATCAATTCTGCCTACAAAAGAAATCCTTACCCAGAGTCATGAAGTCCTGATGTAACACCGTCTCTGTGTTTATCCCACTTACCGGATGGGGGTGACCCTGGCAAGGAAATTGATCTCACTCAGCCTGTTTCCTCCTTATAAAAAGGCATAATAATAATAGTTCTGACCAAGAGGGCTATTGTGAGAATTAAATGAATTCTTACATGTAGCAGTAGGTGATTTATAGGTGATCTCAACTGGGTGGCCCATAGAAAACTTTCAACCAATGTCATTATTGTTATGTTGTTGTTAAGTGTTGTCAAGCAGGTTCCAACTCAGAGCAACCCTGTAAAAGGTTTCCAAGGAGCAGTGGGTGAGCTTGAACCGCCAACCCTGCAGTTCAAACCGACCTTGGGGTCCAGTGCATTAACCCACAGCATCACATAGATACACCAAGAACTTGGCCAAGAATCTCCCAAAGGTTGATAAGAGGAAGGCAGGGGAAACCATTGTCACCTGGCTGGAGTGTGCCATCCTTGGCTGCAGCTCCCTTCTTGATGAGATGGATGATTTGGAGGTAGGGCCCATGCTGGATGACGATCAGGCCTAATCCCAAACTGCCCACAGTGAGTTTGGTCTTCTGGGTTTTGCTCAAGGTGTGTACAGATGCTTTGACCTTGAAGTTGGCTGGTCCTTCTAATAGAAAGAGAACTTGTTTCAGTCCTTCTCCTAGAGGGTAGCATGGCAGTAGTGCACTGGGCTCTGAACCAGAATCCTGAGGCACTTACTGAACTTCCCTGTTCCTTGGTTTTTTCATCTATACAATGCAGATCATTTTAGTGTCTACCGCAGAAGGTTGTGACAAGATATAAAAGAGACAGTTAAAGGACTTTCATAGAGTGCTTGGCACATTGTAGGTGCTAAATCAGTGTACATTGTTATCTACTTGCTCAAAAAGTAGTTATTCATGCAGACAGTATGGTGAGTAAAACACACGTGTTTCTTGCCCTCGTGGATCTTACAGTTCAGTGGAGGAGACAGATATCAGTGAGTCCCAGAGATATACAAGGGTGCTTCAAAAAGTTCAAGAAAAAATGGTATGAAAAAAAATGGCATTTTCCCATAAACTTTTTGAAGCCCCCTTGTATGCTGGTGACAGACTGTGTGAACAATAAGGGGCCATGGAGAAGGCAGGACACACTTCCCTGCCTGAGGAAGTGACATTTGAATTGAGGTCAAAAGGACCAATAGGAAATACTTAGGCAAAGGAGGGGTGGGCGGAGAAGATACAGGTTCTGAAACTGTTTCCTGTCAGAGGAAAATCAAGAAGGCCAGTGGGAGAGGAGGCAGAAGGAGCAAAAGGGCTGAGGAGATAGGGAGTTAGCTCAGTGAAAATATAAAGGATTTAATCAGGCTATGATCAGATTTGTGTTTAAAAAAGGATAAACAGAAAGGATCCCCCTGGCTGCTGTGTGAGGGGTGGAAGGGACATGGAGAATGAAAGGACTTCGGCAGTCACTCAGTCAGGTCATGGTGGCGATGGCGAAAGTGGCCAGGGGATGGATTCAAAAACATTTGGGGGAAATATCCACAGGCCTTGGGAAAAAGGGGTGCATGGGGACTAGGTAGAAATAGGTTTTCTAAAGGACCAAAGCGCATAAGAAAAGACCGAGATGTGATTTAAAACAACAGAGGTATTTTTCCAAGAGGAAGTTTCTGAGACTTGTCCTCAGCAACAACACTTTTCTTAAGGACAAGTGACAAACTGCTATTTGCCAAGCCTTAGCCAAATTCATGTAACCATCGTGGTTGGGGGCGGGGGCGGGGAGGTGGCCTCTGAGCATCCCCATTGCTGGAGAAAGGGCTTCTTCTAACCCCAGCTCTGAGGCTGGCAAGCTTCATGGCCCACTCCTCAAAGCAGCTCTTGTGGCTTATCTCCAACCACCCTCTCCCTTCCCTGCAACCCCAGGTGACGTGGAGAGTTGCTAATACCACCGCTGTTGTGCTAATGGGTAACTCTCCTGTGAAGGAACAACTCATTTCCCCCAAGAGGTCACTATTTGAAGAATGGAACAATGCTTGTGCACCCTCTTTAAGTATAATCAGAATATGTAAATCAAAAATGTTGGTCTACAATTTGTTCCCTTGTCTTAAAAGATAATCTGTCTGTAAAAATAAAGTAGCATATTACACAGAAGAGATGTCTTCCGCGATTTTTTTCAGGCTTATAGGCGTGATTTGGAGTGGGTCATCCCCTGGAGCCTCTGCTCGGAGAATACATTGAAGTGGCATCTTGGGCGAAGCCTAGGGTACCAACCTCACTTTACAAATTAACTGCACTAACAAAGTGAATCTATGAAATCCAGTCTCAAGACAGCAGGACTCAGACAAAGAAGGCAGACTCAAAAGGCCCCGGGCTGTATCATTCCACATTTATGACATTTCCTATGGAAAGGGCAAGACTAAAGATGACAAATGGAGATGTACGGAGCAGGGTGGGGAAAAGGGTTGGCTGCAAAGGGGTGGAGCATGAATTTGGGGATGATAGGACTATCCCATATCGTCATTGTGGTTGTGGTTAAATTTCGGTGTATGGTGTTTGTCACAACTCAGAAGTGTGCATTTAAACAGGGGAGAGGCAATCTTACTGTTGTAAATTATACGTAATAAATAATGTTGTTGCTGTTCAATGTCCTTGAGTAGGTGCCGACTCATAGTTACTGAGAAACCCTGTATAGGGTTTCTGAGAAGCGTCTGGAGGGTTTGAACCGCCCACCTTAGCAGTTCAATGCTTCTCCTACAGCTCTAGATCAGGACTCCAAATAAATGATACCCACAGGATACCTTCCAACCCATTCTAGAGGAGAAAAAGTGAGGCTCGGGTCCCAGGGCATTTCCTCTTCCCTTCTTACTTCACAGTTACCATTTCTGCTTTTGCGGATGGCCTTCTTCATGGCCCCGAAGGACGGATGGCTCAGAAGGGCCTCCCAGGAGCCAGAGCTGAAGCTAGAGTGGTCCAACTCCCAACAGTTTGGAACCCGCGAGACGTGACCGCTGCAGGCAGACAGGCAGTGGAGATTTGTAAGCCGCCGCTCGAGCAGGACGGCAGGGGGCGCCACGGCAACGCCGCCAAATGGGGCAGCTGAGCAGTCACAGGTTTCAATGAAGCCTAGAAAAAGCCACACAGCAATGCGTCTCAGGGGTGTGAGAAGCAAGCTGTCGGTGAAAGTGAACAAAACTTTGGCAGGAACTAATAGAATGCCTGACCTGCAGTGGGTTGTGGGTTTGTTTTAAAATATTGTTTTCATGTGTTTTCGGTGAAAATTTACACAGCAACTTACGTTCCCATTTGACAATTTTGATACAAAGTGTTCAGTGACATTAGTTAACCTTTTCATGATCTGTCAACACTCTCTTTGTGATCTGGTTGTCCCATTTCTAGTGTTAGTTTCCCTGCCCCATTGTTTTCTCATCTCTGCGTAAGAGTAACTGACCTCTTCATTCATTCTTGCTGAACCACTGAAATAGGGAGAAGTGGAGGAGTCAGTTATGATTTCTTTCTGTCTTCCAAAATTACTCTTCCTCCCCCACAGGCTCACTCATATAACAAATATTTACTGGAAGCCTGCTCTGGTTTGTGCTGATGCTGGAGACACAACAGTACCTTTAGGGATTCTCTCCTCTTGTTGTTGTTGTTGTTAAGTGCCATTGAGTCGATTCCGACCCACAGCAACCCTGTTATAGGGTTTCCAAGGAGCAGTTGGTGAGCTTGAACTACCGACCTTGCAGTTCAAACGACTTTGCAGTCTGACGCATTAACGAGTATACATAATTACACACACATGTATATATATAAAAAGATAAAATGGAGTTTTTTTTAAATACACAAATGATAAAAAATGATTCTGGAAGAAACAGAGAACAACATAATGAAGAAGGTCCTGATATAGTTATGTTGATGAAAACAAGACTTAACATTCCTTCAGCAAATAGTTATCATGCAAGCGGCTAGTTAGTAGATGGCAGGCACTAGGAATGGGTTCCTGTGGTAACTTTAGAAGGGTTCCAGCTTGTTACGCTGTTACTATGGCTCTTCCCTACACAGAGGAGTCCTGGTGTGGTGCAGCCGGATAAGTGCTCAACCTCAAGGTCAGTTTGAAGGACAAGGCTGGTGGTTCAAATTCACCAGCTGCTCCGTGGAAGCACTATACAGGATTGTTATGAGTTGGAACCAACTCAATGGCACTTAACACCACCACCCTACACAGGGTCACTTATGAGTCAGAACTCACTCGATGGCACCTCAACAACAACACATTCACAATAAACCCGGGCAGATTTCTCATAGGATGAACTCTGTGTCATGAAGTCTAACACAAAGGGAAATGAAAGAAGTCAGTGCTAGCCCATCTGCTCTTAACTGAGAAGTCTCCTGGAGATTTCTTGGCTCCACAGAGCTCCTCATCCAAGTCACACCCCATTCCTGGTCAGCATTCAATGACAAGTCTTTGCAGAGATATAAAGTTCAGGCACTTTTGACCTAGCTTCAGAGCTCCCTGTGGGGGTCTACCAAAGCTTCCTATAACTGCACCCCCAACCCGAACTTCTACTCTGCTGAATTCTGCTTCCTGGTCTTCTCTGACAGGAGTTGGTCCTCAGAGTATCCCTCTAGTCAACTGCCTGGACTCAGTATCCCTCTAGTTATCTCTGGACTCAGTATGCTCTAGGGGAACCCAACCCACGACACAAACTGAGCCCTGGACACAAACTGTTAATCTCCAGACTACTCTTTTGTCTTTTTTAAACCCAGCAACTCCAGGTGCACATGCCGGTTCACATACCACACTTTTGACCTGATGGGACCCCAGAGAGCAATTCTGAAGGGTTTTTTCCTGTCAGGCTAAAGATGCTCCTTAAAGAGAAGAGTGATCACACAGGCCCCTCCGTGGGTTTCCCCAAGGTCCCATCTGGATTCAGCCTCTTCTGGACCAAGGACAGCCATCCATCATAGTATAGCACACTACACTTACCACCCTTCACAGAACAGCTATTTATGACTTCGGCCTGTCAGCATAGTTTCCTCCTGGGGGCCTTCTGTATTCTTCTGGGTCCCTAAGGATTTTCTGCCATAATGAACGGCATGGCTCATCCACTCTCGGAGAAGTCCCAGGTGCTTTGCTTAGGGTTGGATGAGAGGGTGAGGGTGGGATAGTTCTATCATTGGGGCGGAGTGTTTGTTCAGGGAGTTTGCTGGGTCAGATGGGGGAAAGAGGTTCAGAGAGAGTGACGTGACTTTCCCAGGGTCATGCCTTAAACCAGTAGCAGAGATGGAACTAGAATATAGTCCAGTATTCTTTTTACTCCACAACTGTGCCTCTCCCCAATCCCCAGGGTTTGTTTGCCTTTAATATAATCGACTGAGACATAGAGGAGGGAACTGATTTATTCTGTAGATCTCAGGAAGACTTGGGACTCTGGAATGTTGGAGGGTAAAACTGAGATGAGGGAGGGGCTAAGATTAGATTCATGGGTCCCCAGAAGGTCAGCAGTTCAAAACACCAGACGCTCCTTGGAAACCCTATACAGGGTCACTGTGAGTCAGAACCAACTTGATGGCACTTAACAACAACATCGCCACACCCGCCATCTTCCACTCCTTGGTGGTAGGAAGGGACATGACCGTTGTCTGACATGACCATTGATGTGAAGCCATTAGTTTGATGAAAATGTTTACAAACTCAATACCAATTATTCTTATTCTTTTATCTTAGACATAATATCCCTAGGTAGCACAAACAGTTTGCACTGTAAGATAAACACTGGACCTCAATCTGGGTGTCCTAGGCTGGGTTTTCTAGAGAAACAAAACCAGTGAAACATCTATATATATAAATATATAAAAATATATATATATCTTGTTGTTGTTAAGTGCCGTCGAG